TGTCTAAGAATACAGATTTTCTTTGGTATCTTAACCAAAAGTACGATCCGATGGAAGTCTATTCCCCAATGACCACAGTTTGGGTGGAGAAGTCTTTCTCAACTCTTAAGTTTATGTTAACTGATAGAAGAATGTCTTTAAAAACTGATAATATTGAAAAGTATTTATTTGTTCAGTATAATCATGAATTGTAGTATTTAATAATATTTAAATTTATTTATTTAATTTTTGTATTTCCTAATTTATCATGCATTTAATAAAATTTCAATTAATTTTAAAAACATACTGTACTCATTTATCATGTTTTTCAATATATTATTTTTACCAAAATTTTTATGCGTGATGTGAACCTCACTTAAAATCCCTTGAAATGAGAGCTTTGTTTATACAAAACCAGATCTGCATTTATTAAACATACAATATAATAATAGGTTTACAATCAAAGTTTATAGACTGACACTCATACCACACTTTACGTACTATCAGTCGTACAGTAATTTATATAATAGGTTTGTAATGTAACATGATACATTTTACATATAATGTGCTATAACAGAGACATACAGTGTTTGAGAATATAATAATATTTAATAATAAGAATATTCTTAATAAGTACGACAGCGTCGTAACACATAAATTGGCACATACAAACGTTATGAATTTATGATTGCATTTATGTTGTAATAATTTCTGAGAATTGAAACTAACTTTTAGTTGAGATTTATATAATTTATAACTGTTTGAAATATGTAACTGTTTTATGCTTTGTATCACTGAATAAACTCTTATTTTATGTTTGAATACAGTTTACATTTTATTACAATCAATATGTAGCGTATAAATAAATACCGAACCCTGCAATATTTTAATATTCAGCATATTGTTTTCACATTGGTAATCTTTAAAAATAAACACACTAGGTGTTATTTATATTTTAATGATGGTTTATTTTTATTTTATAGTTTTAATAATTAAAAATCTAAGATTTTTAACTTTTTCATCAATGACACTTTATTTGTTGGCTTTTTAAGCATATATTGTAGAAAAACAATGAAAAATGAATTGCCATCCGATTTCAATCTATTGATTATTATTTCCGTTCTATTCTTCACAATTATTTTCCTATCGATAGACCACTCGTTATATTTGTGTAACACTTCACTACATTCCGGTCTTTCAGTCCACTTGTGGTTCACCATTGAGTCCAACAATTTTTGCAATTGAAATACCGGTGCGTTTAGTACTGTCCACGCGTTTGAATATCTTTGAGCACTACATACCGTTAAATCAAATAAATTATAAACAGAATGAGTTCATAATAAATACAAACTTTTTAATATTTAGAGAAAATAAGTCGAAACCAAATATTTCGCCACCAATTATGGCCACATTATAAATGTCTGACTTATGGTCATATTTGTTACCCTGGAGTATCTCAGGTGCCATATATCGGGTGTCCCCCACATCTGCCGTGTGTTTGTGTTTTATCATGTAATGAATACGTTTGTCGTGAACTGTAGCCAATCCGAAGTCACATAACTTAATAAATCTACCGTTCCTTACATTCCTAGCAATTAATATATTGTCGGGTTTGAGGTCTCTGTGAATGATCTGTGGATTCAATTCATGTAAATATTGAACGCATTCTAAGATCTGTCGAAATATTTCACACGAAATGAAATACTCGTATAAATCCAAGGCTTCTCCCATTTCTCTCTCAAATACCTTATGTTTGACTTCAAGAATATTCTTCAAACTTTGTAAACATAACTCCATTTGAATGAAAAGGCAATTATCTGTAGTCCAAGAGTCGTAATATTGGACCACATATTGAGACTTAACTTTCACTAAACTTTCCACTTCTTAATAGAGTCTCTGTTTATGAAAAGTATTTAGAAAAGTCTAGAAATCATAATCAAATTATAAATTATATAAAATCTATTAAAAACTTTAAAACTATGAATACCTGTAAAAACAATCTTTTTAACCGCAAATCCTGCCTCACATTTAGTGCGATATACTGTCCCAAAACCACCCGAACCCACACTAATCAACTGATCATGGTCAATATATCTTAACGAGTTTATCACTGTATTGTATGTTATATGATATTCAGTGCCATAAAAGTCAATAAAACTATTATACTGTGTCTCAATTAATTCATGCGTTTCATACGATAGCACATAAATTGTATTATTTCTCAAAACAGTTATTAAATTAAAATGAAATTTATTAAATTGCGATAATTCTTGTATATTGTCACCCGGTAATTGTTCCAGTATATTTTGGTCTAACCCACAAAAATATATAAATCCAGAGTTTGACAGAAAATAAGTCATATCTAGCGATGAGGCGATAGTTTTGATATCATTTAGCGTTGATATCAATTGCGGAGTGAATACACATTCAGTGGTTATATTGTGTCCCAATTGATGGCCACTATTGTTACCCCAACTGAACACTAGTCCCTCACAAGTGATGGCAAATGACGAGAAAAAATAGCATTTAATTGATTTTATTTTGGGATTATTCGGGAATTTTATGACAATTGGTTCGTGAATTATATCCATTTGATTGTCACCACAGCCTACCTGTCCCTCTCGATTACAGCCCCACCCATACACCTGTCCACTGGACGTGAGGGCTAGTGAGTGGAAATAACCGCAACTTATTTCTCGTATGTCTTTGTCGTCGAAATATGTAATTTTCTCGGGTTTTACATAAATCCCTTTTGGCGACAAATCCCGACCCAACTGTCCCCACATGTTGTGACCCCAGCTATACATATAGTTCGCGCTATTCATAGCCAACACAAAGTCATATCCAATGAAAAATGTTTCTATTCTTTGATCACTTAATTCCGGTATAACTTGCGGTGAATCTATGGCCTGGTTGTGACCCAAAACCAGACATCCCTGTCTATTGGGTCCCAACTAATACACCATATCATCGGTGGTAACGAACAGAATATTCTTCCGGTTTCTGTCATTGAAAACATGAAATAATAAAATCTTTTCCTTAACGTCTGTTTCAATGTTATTTAAAATCACAATTTTCTCGATACTTAACGGCATTTCACTGCTAAGTGTTTATTACAAAAAAAATCAAAACATTAAAATATAATTTTAGTTAATTATTTAAATTAACCGTGTAATTTTTTATATCTATCATACTAATCTAATAAAATAAGTTTTTTAATTAATTTTTTAGTTTTATAATTTATATTATAATGTTGTGAACAAAATGTCGAGTAATCAACAGTTAGTAGTTGTTAGCAATTATCACAAAATTACTATTAGCAATCAATTATAATAAATTGTATTAAATGTTATACTGTATAGATAATTTCATATCAAGTACAGTAGACTGATTGATTTTCATATGTATTTAATTGACTTATAATTTATAAAGATTGATGTTTTAAGTCACAAAAAGTGGCGGAATTATCAAAACATTTGAAGCAAAACCATAATAATTAATATAATTTTAAATGCAATTAGAATTTGATTTATTTTATAGTAAAATAATTTTATTATGGAGTGTCTAAAATGTAATATTACATGATAATTTAAGTTGAATATAATAATATAAAAGTATTTTTAATAAAGCGACACAGTACAATGCTCAATTTGGCTATTATTCCTAATGATTTATTAGCATTTAAACAAATAAGTTTATTATTTTTTGTCTAATCGATAGCCGTTTATGTTTTTGTTTTTTATGAAAGCAATGTCGAAATAATTGTAGAAAAAATGTATTGTCGTGTGATATCAATTGAATCACTATTATATTGAAATGATTCTCAGATATCATATTCCTATCGATAGACCACTCGTTATACTTCTGCAACACTTCTCGACATTCCGGTCTTTCAGTCCAATTCGTGTTAATCATTGAGACCAACAGTCTCTGTAATTGAAATACCGGTGCGTTTAGGAATGTCCACGAGTTTGAATATCGTTGAGCACTATAAACCGTTAAATTCACAAATTGGACGGAAAGACCGGAATGTAGTGAAGTGTTGCAGAAGTATAACGAGTGGTCTATCGATAGGAAAATTATATCTGAGAATCATTTTAAAATAATTGTCAATAAGTTGAAATCACGCGACAATAAACTTTTTCTACAATTATTTCAACATTGCTTTCATAGGAAACCTAATCATCTATCGATAACACAAAAAATATTAAATTTATTAAATGCTAATAAATGATTTGGAATAATAATAATCTATTATAATTTAACATTGTACAGTGTTACTTCATTAAAAATACTTTTATATAATTATATTCAAGTTAAATTTTCATGTAATAGTATATGTTGACATTAGACACTCCATAATGAAATTATTTTACTATAAAATAAAATTCTAATTGCATTTAAAATCATATTAATTATTATGGCTTTACGCCAAATGTTTTGACAATTCCGCCACTTTTCGTCACTTAAAACAGCAGTCATTATAAATTATAAGTCAATTAAATACATATGAAAATCAATCAATCAGTCTACTGTACTTGGTATGAAATTATCAATACAGTATAACATTTAATACAATTGATTATAATTGATTGCTATTACAGTAGTAATTATGTGATAATTGCTAACAACTACTAACTGTTGATTACTCGACATTTTGTTCATAACATTATAAATTATAAAACTAAAAAATAAATTAAACATTAAAAAAGCTTCTTTTATTAGATTAGTTTGATAGATATCAGAAATTAAGTTTAAATTTTTATAATTAACTAAAATTATATTTAATTGTATTGATTTTTTTTGGTAATAAACACTTAGCAGTGAAATGCCGTTAAGTATCGAGAAAATTGTGATTTTAAATAACATTGAAACAGACGTTAAGGAAAAGATTTTATTATTTCATGTTTTCAATGACAGAAACCGAAAGAATATTCTGTTCGTTACCACCGATGATATGGTGTATGGGTTGGGACCCAATAGACAGGGATGTCTGGGTTTGGGTCACAACGATACCATAGACTCACCGCAAGTTATACCGGAATTAAGTGATCAAAGAATTGAAACATTTTTCATTGGATATGACTTTGTGTTGGCTATGAATAGTGCGAACCATATGTATAGCTGGGGTCACAACATGTGGGGACAGTTGGGTCGAGATTTGTCGCCAAAAGGGGTTTATTTAAAACCCGAGAAAATTACATATTTCGACGACAAAGACATACATGAAATAAGTTGCGGTTATTTCCACTCACTAGCCCTCACGTCCAGTGGACAGGTGTATGGGTGGGGGTGTAATCGAGAGGGACAGGTAGGCTGTGGTGACAATCAAACGGATATAATACACGAACCAATTGTCATAAAATTCCCGAATAATCCCAAAATAAAATCAATTAAATGCTATTTTTTCTCGTCATTTGCCATCACTTGTGAGGGACTAGTGTTCAGTTGGGGTGACAATAGTTGCCACCAATTGGCACACAATATAACCACTGACTGTGTATTCACTCCGCAATTGATAGCAACGCTAAATGATATCAAAACTATCGCTTCATCGCTAGATATGACTTATTTTCTGTCAAACTCTGGATTTATATATTTTTGTGGGTTAGACCAAAATATACCGGAACAATTAACGGGTGACAATATACAAGAATTATCGCAATTTAATAAATATCATTTTAATTTATATATTAATAACTGTTTTGAGAAATAATACAATTTATGTGCTATCGTATGAAACGCATGAATTAATTGAGACACAATATACTAGTTTTATTGATTTCTATGGCACTGAATATCAGATAACATACAATACAGTAATTAATTCGTTAAGAAATATTGACCATGATCAGTTGATTGACTATTTAAAAAATATACGGAAGTATCGTGAAATTTACCGTTTTGTATTATCATTCAAGTATTTAACATTTATCTCTATTATGTGTATTAATTTCCTATTTTTCAAAATTTTTAACAAATAATTATAAAATTTAGTCATATTATACCAATTTCGCAACTACTTGATCTTATAATGTCAAGTATTTACCCTCCCTTTGATCCTTGACTCAAATACTTGAAAGTCAAAGCAGAATACTTGACCCTGGTCACCCTACATATAATATAAATTAAGTATTAATAAAAATTTGTTTTTATTATATTGTCGTTATTTATATCTAATTTGTATTTTGCAAAAAAACTATATCCGTTAAAAATAAATTCAAAAAAAAGTGTTTTCCCTAAATAGCTACAATTTCCTGAGTATATGCTAAAAATACTAGCAAATTGAGCTATATAATTTATAGCACTATTTAACTAACAATAATAATACGCCGACATATTTATTTATAATTTATAAATTACTTTTCACAACAGTTTTGTATTTTTATTAAATATATTATTTTAAAATATTTTCATAAAATGATTTTATTAATTTATTAATTTGACTGCATTTAATGTTTTCATAAATTATAAAACTATTAAATGTAACATAAACTGTATATAAAAAGTTTACCGTAAATGTCGTTAATTAAGGAGAAAATTGTGATTTTTAATAATATCGACGAAAATATTAAGCAAACGATAAAATTATTTCACGTTTTCGATGACTATTCTCACGGAAAGAATATTCTGTTCGTTACCACCGATGATATGGTGTATGGATTGGGATCTAATTCTCATGGGTGTCTGGGTTTGGGTCATAACAAGTCCGTAGATTCACCACAAGAAATACCAGAATTATGTCATCAATGTATTCATACATTTATTATTGGATATGGATTTGTGTTGGCTATGAATAGTATGAACCATATATACAGTTGGGGTCACAATGTCTTGGGACAGTTGGGTAGGGATGGGACACCAGAAGGGGTTTATTTAAAAGCCGAGAGAATATCGTATTTCGACGACAAAGATGTCCAACAAATTAGTTGTGGTGAATATCACTCACTGGCCCTCACATCCAATGGACAGGTGTATGGGTGGGGATTGAATTTACAGGGACAGGTATTTAGGTATTATGGTAGTAGGGTTATTAGAAAACCAACTCTCATACAATTCCCGGATAAACCTAAAATCAAATCAATTCATTGCTATAAATGGTGTTCATTTGCCATCACTTGTGACGGACTAGTGTTCAGTTGGGGTGACAATAGTGGCCATCATTTGGGACACAATATAAGCGCTAACTCTGTATTCACTCCGCAATTGATATCAACTCTAAATGATATNCAATTCATTGCTATAAATGGTGTTCATTTGCCATCACTTGTGACGGACTAGTGTTCAGTTGGGGTGACAATAGTGGCCATCATTTGGGACACAATATAAGCGCTAACTCTGTATTCACTCCGCAATTGATATCAACTCTAAATGATATCAAAACTATCACTTCATCTTTATATATGACTTATTTTCTGTCAAACTCTGGATTTATATATTGTTGTGGAAAGATCCAAATAATACCCACACAATTACCTGGATGTAATATTCAAGAATTATCACAATTTGATTCAAATACTGTCCAGATTACTGCTTTAAAAAATAACAAAATTTACCAAGTTCATGAAACACACGAATGGATTGAAACCGAGTTTAATAACTTCACGGATTACTACGCGAATAAATACCAAATAACATGCAATACAGCAATCAATTTATTAAGAAATTATAACCATGATGATTTGTTTGAAATTGGTTCTGGTGGTTTTGGGACAGTGTATAAGAATACGTATGGCATTGGAGTGGCGGTTAAAAAGATCGACTTCACAGGTATTTATCACTATAATAACTTGGTGTATTTAAATTTACAGGCAATTGGCAGTGACAAATGCTCTTGGTAACAATTTTTTAGGTAATGATTATCCTAAAGAAAAGGTTTTGAAAGAAGTGGAGNTCGACTTTACAGGTATTTATCACTATAATAACTTGGTGTATTTAAATTTACAGGCAATTGGCAGTGACAAATGCTCTTGGTAACAATTTTTTAGGTAATGATTATCCTAAAGAAAAGGTTTTGAAAGAAGTGGAGAATTTAATAAAAGTTAAGTCTCAATATGTGGTTCAATACTACGACTCCTGGACTACAGATAATTGTCTTTACATTCAAATGGAGTTATGTTCACAAAGTCTGCGAAATATTCTTGAAGTTAAACCACAAGTATTTGAGAGACAATCCGGAGACCCCATGGATTGTGTCAAGTATTTCATTTCGTGTGAAATATTTCGACAGATCTTAGAAAGCGTTCAATATTTACATGAATTGAATCCACAGATCATTCACAGAGACCTCAAACCCGAAAACATATTAATCGCAAAGAATGTAAGAAACGGTAGGTTTTTGAAGTTATGTGACTTTGGTTTGGCTACAGTTCACGACAAACGCATTCACTACACTACAAAACACAAACACACGGCAGATGTGGGGGATGACCGTTATATGGCACCTGAGATACTCAACGGTAAAAAGTATGGTCACAAATCAGACATTTACAATGTGGGACTAATAGGTGGAGATTTATTTGGTTTTGACTTATTTTCTCTAAATATTAAAAAGTTTGTATTTATTATATTTATTTAATTCAATAACTTATTCTTGTTTTTCTGATTTAACGGTTTATAGTGCTCAACGATATTCAAACTCGTGGACATTCCTAAACGCACCGGTATTTCAATTACAGAGACTGTTGGTCTCAATGATTAACACGAATTGGACTGAAAGACCGGAATGTCG